CCCGCTGTTTAATTTGACACTTGGGGCTTGAAGGAGTACAAGATGTAAGTCTTAGTATCGGCCCACTGTATGACGAAACTACTGCATTCTAACAAAATCAGTCCGCCATGACGGGGTTCGAACCTCGACTATCGAGGCTGAAATCCGTTGACCTAGTACCACTGCTAGTTAGTGTAGGCCATCCTGATTCGTTCCACTTTCAATTAAGAACATCCTTATCATGTGAATGCGACTGTTACATTCTGTCAGCGCTTTATTGAACTTTGCGAAACCTCATCCTTCTGACTGCCGCATATCTCATGCGCCCTCCCTCTGGCTACAATTTGTATTTTGTGCAGTTTACAGTCGCAAGCAACCTCAGCCTTGAGGCATGGGATTTTCATTGTTCCTCAGAATAATACAGTGTATACTGTTGATATACATAGTCGTACATGTATCCTGTGTTTGATACTGTTCCGGCGTTTTACCGAAATGTCTTGTCACTTTTCGGGTTGAATACGGTCTTAGCTTATCTGTTTTCTCCCCGCTCCCCTTTCCGATTACTCTAGGGCCCGAAATTCATGCATGTTATTGAGACCGATCAGTAGTCAGTCATTGCTTGCGCTTTATCTAGGTTAGGCTTTTGTTAAATCAGTTACGGGCATACTCGTTTAAGTGTTGTATAGGCGATCATGGACAATGATGGTCATTCATCTGTCATATTCCAGATCACGTTTATTTCATGAAAAGTGTAGTGCCCCGATTTGTGTAGCAGTCAAAGCAGTCAATACAATATCTGTCCTGTGTGACAGGTACCAAGTCTTTCTCTGTACATCTCAAATCCGATCCCGCAAGTGCATGCGGTTATCGGCTTGGTACACACAACCAGACGCTTGTGACAGATGTTGAAATTGATTCTCGTGTTGTCGTTTTTGTTTGCTTGCAAAATGTGCCTCACTGACACGCGTTACCGATCGAGCCCAGGTGACCGAATTAGGACAACAGTTGTCCGCAATCGGTTCGTAATAGCAATCGATTGTCATGGGTTGCGTCATTCTGTGGTATTTGTGTGTGTTCGGTTCAACCAGCAGTTTGCCCCGTACACCGAAATGCTAATAAATGAATAAATAAATCATAGGCTATTTCCTCTCCGCCTCCAAATACATCTCTCCGCTCATGTTGACAATTTCAAATTTGCTATAATTAGGTTACATTTTCGCATATTGTTCGACCGGTTCAACATCGTATTCGGGTTCGAGAGTCTGATGGTCTTTTGTCTTCATTCGAAATCCCTTTTCGGATAGATACAATAAAGCATGCACGCACACATCAAAGATAAACGGTGAAATCAAATCAATGCCCTTGGGCTAGANCTATCGATTAATTCTTTCTCTATCCCTCCCCCAACCTTGAACGCTCTCGAACACATACAAAATAATTGAAAGTTTTGAAATCTGTATAATTTTCCTGAGACTTCGTTTCAGTATCATTGATATATATATATATATGGCGAGATAGATTTATTTCTGACTGGATGTTCACTCTCCGTTTTGTTGTGATTTACAGACGGTTAGATTATTTTGAGAACCCACTCACAGTTAAAAAATCGACGTTTGTATTTTAGTTAGATGTACGTTATTGTATTCGCGCACGAGTGTTTGTGTCTTCGTTTGGGTTTGTTCAGTCATGTAATTAGAGCTTTATTTTCCGATCCTTGGGAATAATCCAATCAGAAGCATGCCACTGACAGCTCAGACTCGGGGCATTAGAGCTCGCGTCCTTCCATTCAGTTTTGGCGGGGCCTCTGTTGATTGTGTCCACAGGTGAGCTTGTTAGTTTTGTTTGACGGGTGCTGCCTATCCCGTGATTGTAAGATGTCCTCAGTGTGTCTGTCGAAAACTTATCCGATGGATTACGATTGGCGGTAAAATCAGCTAAATTCCGCCATATCCTCATGTATAGGAGGTTTTCTCTTCCTTATCACTGTGTCTTGGACACTGTTCGATCGTTTGTGCGAACTGGTGCCTCTATCCTTCATACCACCAGTTGTCAGACACTGATGTTCTGTATAATCAGAGCTAATTGTCACTTTCATTTCGACTTAACACATTGAGAAGCTGATTTTCACTTAACAAGCACACTCTTCCCCGTAATGAACTAGAATGGGAAAGCCAAACGCACTGGTTTGCGCCAGTCACCGTCTTGCATCATTCCACTGCATCTGTATACATGTAGAAAATCGTTCGCCGGTTGAATCCTTACCGTGATCCAGTTTAACTCGTTTAGCAAACAGCTTCTTGGTTGTGACGTTTGTAGCATATCTACTATGTTGTCTACTCCAAGGTGAGTACTGCATGTGTAAATCTCGGACCATGATCAATGCCGAAGTTCAATGTCTTATCTTTAAGTGACGCTCCACAATGGTCGGACACCGAATTTCACAGTTACTTATAGTTGTGAAAATTGAAATGTGGTCTATTAATATAAGCAGTCTCATTATCTCCCCCAAACATTTACGCTGCATACGGTACTGCCGGTTGTTCTACGATCATCAAACACTTAGAGAATAACCATCTCGAGCACTTCTGGGAGTTTTCTTCTTTGCATACTTTCCGTTGTGTCGTGTACTTCTTGGAAATTCTTGGTTGCTGTGATTTGATGCATTCCGGACTTTGATATCGTATGGTCCAACTGGTATCACTATCGACCTATTTTCGACTTACACAGCCTCACTTCGACCCGCCTAGACAAACCTTTCGGGTTTTCATTTTGTTAGTCATCCTGTTTACACCCTCATGAATGGTGACTACATTTGTTGACACCAAATTGAACATGTGCCTGTTGAAACGAGTACCCTCGGGTTAAGCGGAGCTAAATGCTACCACGCGCGTCCCTGGGTTGTGGATAGGGGGATACCTTCACCGAAGAAGGTTAGTTGTGATTAAGTTGTGGTATACCGCAACAAATAAGCAGTCGCGAACAAGCAGCGGCGGCACTACCAGGGTGTGGTGTGTTTCAGACTTGTCATCTGGCTCCTGTTTAAAAGCCGCATAAATCCAATAATGGTGTCGTGACAAAGGTCGATGTGACTGACCTTTTAACACTAAAGTCATTGACCCCCTCAATTCCGAGGCGAGGGATTACCTCCTGCTGCCCTGTAGTTCGCAATTGGCTGTGCAAAGGCTAGAGGTGCG